GGGAGTATATGATATAGACTCACCAGCTTGAGGGGGAGTGTTAGCGTAGGGGTATTTCTGTCCTTATACCTAGATTAAGGTTGTTGATTAGTAATGTTGTGTTAGAACCAGTGCTCCTTCCTTAAATAAGGGCACATATGTCTTTTCAATTATTTTAATAATAAAAAGCACTGTCTGGCCGAATGGGAGTTATGTTCTTGAGACTTCCTGTTCGAACTAGACTTTCTCCTTTTCTCTTTCTCTCTTTCTTCCACCTTTCTACCTCTTTCTACATAACCGATCTCAGACAAATAGAACTCCAAGGCAGGCCAAATCATAACAGGATTTTTTCTGAATAAAAACCTCGAATCCTAGGGTAACTCCCTCGGTTCCATAGCAACCAGAAATTTTCACTATTAATTGTCTATAATATTCATAAAGAAATGTATAAAATTCACATAAAACATAGAAAATCAACATATGCATGAAAAAAAAATGGAAGAAAGAAAAGAAATTTTAGAAAATAGAGGGTTTGAGGCTCTATTTTTGTCCTAGAAAAGAAGAGAAGAAAACAAAGGATGAAAGTCAATGTGTTCAGTATACATCTTGATTGAACCCTAACAAATAGGTAAAATAATAAAAAGAAACTAGTATTTTAACTCAAACTGAATATATTTATTTTGTTAATGTTTATTTTATTATTATAATCTCAAAGTTAAGAATTTAAAAGTATGGAAGAGCATTGTGTAAAAAATATCTTGGCGATTGAGTCTCTATTTTATATTGTAGTGTGTTGTTCTTGTATCATTTGGTGTACCAATATTAAGCATGCCTTCAATGGGTTATTTGGTTTTTCATTTGATTGACAACATCATGTTTGATTGGATGTTTGCAATAAATTGTTGTGACCATGTAAACTCTTGAAAACCAAATCACCCAAGCATGCACTCACTAGGTGATTTGGATTGTCCTTTGACTTGTAGCATGCCTGGGTTTTCTTAGAGGCCAAAAGAAAGTGTTATGATTATGTGAACTCATTGCTCCACATGTTTGGCCACCTTCATATTTCTTGATATTCTTAGTAAGTTAGTGTTCATATTACCACTTGGGGTAGCAACAACAAGCATGAACTCACTAGGTAATTTTGTCTTTCATTTGATTAATAGAATGTTGTTGACCATATGGACTAATTGAAACCAAATCACCTAGGCATGCACTTGCAAGGTGTTTTGGTTTTAAATTTGATCATTAGCATGTTCGTGACTTATTGGAGGATCACAAGAAAGTGTTGTGATCATGTGAATGAAATTAAATGACACAAGCATGTGTTCATTGGGTGATTTGGTTTTTCTTTTTATTGATAGAATGTTAGTATTTTATTGAAGGTCACAAGAAAGTATTACAACCATGTGAACACATCACAACACATGTTAAGCTACCTTGGAATTTCTTGGTTGTCATAGTAAGGTAGTAGACCTTAGAGGTACTTTCTATTTTTTCATATGTTAGTGGGTTTTTTTTTTTGTATCATTTGAGGTAGGAAAAAGGCATGCACACATTGTGTGATTTGATTGTTATCATGCCTCTGTTTTATTGTAGGGTTGCAAGAAAGTGTTATAACCATGTGAATTCATCGAAACCAAATCACCCAAGCATGTACTCATTGGGTGATTTGGTTTTTCATTTGATTGATAGCATGCTTGTGTTTTCATTGGAGGGTTGCGTGAAAGCATGTGGTCATGTGAACTCACTGTTCAACATGTTAGGCTACCATAGTATTTTCTAAATTGTCATAGTAAGTCATAGACCCTAGAGGCAATCCCTATTTTTTTATATGTTAGGTTGTTAGTGTGTCATTTGGAGTAGCTATAGCAGGATTCACTCATTGGATAATTGGGATTTTCGTTTGATTAATAGCATATCTGTGTTTCACTAAAGGGTTGCAAATGTTGTGACCATGTGAACACATCGAAACCAAATCACCTGGGCAAGCATTCACTGGGTGATTCAGTTTTTCATTTGGTTGATAGCATGTTGTATTTTATTGGAGGGTCAAAAGAAAGTGTTGTGACCATGTGAATATATTGCTCCACATGTTAATCTATCTTTGTATTTCTTGATTATCAAAGTAAAGGAGTGGACCTTAGAAGCATACTTTTCAAGGCATCCGAGGTGAGGCTAGATGACAGGGGTGCGGATTCTTAGTAGTTATTGTATACTAAATTGTTTGGTTGATCTATTAGAACCATTTGCACCTTCTCTGAGTTTAAATTTAGTATTTATTTTATACTAAATTATTTTGTTTAGGGTTCCTTGCCCTCTTATGGCAATTTAATTACAATCATCTTTACCACTTTTCCAAAAAAAATCTTCTCTCTCATCTATTATGTAGTTTTGACTCTTAAAGTTTACAGGACAGCATTGTAGTGTTTTTTTATCAGTTACCTTTGTTTGGTGATTTGGAACAAGATAATCATTTCAATGGGTCTAACTATGTGTCTTTTGTCATTACATAAAATAGCATTGTATACTTTTGCATATTTCACAATGTTTTTGCCAATCTATAATTTTTATAACATTTCCATATGGCATTTTTAACATTTTCAAGTAGATAAATTAGATTTGGTGAAAGGTTCAGAAATTGAAACATTCTTGGCTGGATTTTTAGGAGTGAAAATTATAGCTCAATCTTCAAAATTTCCAAGATTAGGCTGGACCTAGTCATATATATCTATCTTCTGTCTTCCAGATTCTACAACTCTGCTTCGAAACAATTATTTTTTGGGATCAATAACCAATTTGTATAGATCTCTTTTATGGGTAAACTCATAGTGATTATGACTCAGTTGAGTTACTTTTGTAGATAAGTTAGATTTGGTGAAGGGCTTGACACAATAGCTGGCTTTTTAGTTGTTAGATTGAATTTGCAAAGACTAGGCTTAGCCCAGCCATATATCTACTTTCTCTACCTACCAGTTCCAACCCATTCTTTTGAATAAACTGCAGTAAAAGTTTATATGCTTTGTATGGATCTCCTTTATAGGACTGATCCTAATGCTTATGATTCTTATGACTCTTCCTAGGAGATGCATCACCTGCTGGACTTGAATAGGTTTTGCATGTATTAGTTGTTTAAGATAATATTTTGGTTTGAAATAAATTAGTGCCTTTCTTGATTAACAATGGTAATCTAACAACTCTAGTTAGAACTTAATTTTACAAAAATGAGAAATCTAAGGTGAAGGGTTTGCTTTTAGAGATACATCCTACCAAAGTTTTTAAAATGGTAAAGGTGTAGTTGAGGCCTAATGGCCCAAAAGGGTGAGGCATAAACCTCAAAAAATTAAAAAAGAGGAAAACAAGATTACTTAAAGTTTAAAAATGATGAAAAGAACAAATAATAAACCAAAATAAAATGATAGAAGTTACAAGCATCCATAAGATAGAAGTATATATGCAATCACTTTTTTTAACATTCAAAAAAATAATAGCTAATCAACTAACAACCATAAACCTTTTATATTTCAAGTTTCAAAATCCAAAATTCTAAAATTGTTTAAATGATCAATCATAATGTTTTAGATTATCAAAATTTCCCCATCATCAAATTTTCTTTTACTAATGGTTGTCATCTGATGAATCATCCATATGATAAATACTTGATTTCTAGTTGCCCAACAGTTTAGAAGAAAGGAAACAACTTAGTTTATACCTGTGCAAAAATAGAAACTAAAGAAATCATTAGGAAGAGAAATGAGAGGCAAATAGGGTAGATATTATTTTACTGTGTAGAAAATAAAGAAAAATGGCAAACCTAGGATGCTAGATTTCTAGTTAAAATTAATAAGAAAAAATCCCACTTGATTTGACCAAGAATGAAGAGAGAATCATAAAGGTTCCTTTTGCCCTTGTTGCGTTGAGCCGTTGAACTCTTCTAAAATGCTAACAGAAACTAAGAACTCTATTTTCCCTATTGGTTTTATTCCTTTTATTTGGCCCATAATTACTAAATTGCCCCTCCCATATGTTTTGAAACTAAAAAAATAAAATCATTTTTTGTGTTAAATAATATAATTGTCACAAGTTCTTGAGGCTTACGCCTGTCTACACCTCATGCCTTGAGGCTTAAGGCTTACACCTCTTTCTGACAAAGGCCTAAGCCTCATATAAAAAATGATTCTAATTTTAAAACAAAAAAAGGAAATCATTTTTTGTGTTAAATATTCTAATTGTCACTATTTCTTGAGGCTTATGCCTGTCTACGCCTCATGCCTCGAGGCTTAAGGCTTACACCTCTTTCTGACAAATGCCTAAGCCTCGTATCAAAGTTATATGGCTTAAGCTTTGAGGCAAAATCTGTGCATCTTGTCTCAAGGCTAAGCCTTTTGAAACCATGATCCCACTTAAAAAATTGCTCAAATATGAAGTGCAACTTAAACTGAGTCACTTATCAATTACATTAATAGCATGTTGACTTCTAACATGCAGGATATGCTAGAGAAGTCAAATGCAACAGATGCATCTGGAAATGTGGTACTTGGAGATATTGGGGTCCATATACAACAGCGGGTAAGGTTCTTTCGTAGGTGATAGCTTATCGATCCATATTCTTTGCTGATGTGGGAAACTTTACCGATTTTTATACAGATAAAAAGGCATTTCAAGGAGGTAGGAGTTCCAGCTGATGTTAAATATATCGATCCTACTTATATGATACGAGCATGTCGTCCAAATGCTTCTGATGCTATACTCTGCACTGTCCTTGGCCAAAATGCAGTAAGATTTATATCATTCCTTGGATTTCCTTCCATGACATTAGGTCTTATAACTCTCTAAGATATGGCTTTTCCTTCTATTTCTGAGTTCTTGAGTATTTGCATAGCAATGACATAGTTTGATATTACATATACACTTATTGGTGTAACACCATGTTAATTATGTACATGTGATAGTTTAATCTATGATTTTATTACATTAATAATATCATCGTTTTATATGGTTTTGGGTGTAATGCAATCATTTGAAAGCCCATGCATTGGTATATTGGCCCCTTGAATTCCATATTTGCCATATCTGGAACTTTACACCTACGACCTTAAGCAACATTTGCCTTGCTTTTCACGGTTCACCTTGTTCAGTCCTATGATATCTAGAAAATAATATTCTTAGCTTTAATAGTTGCCCATCTAGAATCCAGATTACACAACTGAAACTGGTCTAGGAAATATACATGTAATAGAAATGGCCATTACGCAATGCCACTCCCCGTTATCATTGGGGTTCTTGAGGTGGGTGGACTGGATGTGGACCTAACCTCCAGCTTTTTTGAACTTTTATTTTGCAAATGTAACAAGAACATTTATGTAGGGATAATCTGACAACTTCCAAACACCTCTTTTTTTTTTGAAGTTTCTTTCTATTTTTCAGCTGATAAAAAATTTTGATTAATATTTAGTTGTATGTTTAAATGTTCTGAGTACTTGAAATTCTGTGTGACGGCAGAACACTGTTTGCTACTCAGTGAACATTCTGTCATTCTATGACATACATTTGCCATATCTCCTGTAAGCATGTATAACCCACAATCACATACAATCTTTGCAGGTCCATGGTGCATTTGCAGGGTACAGTGGCATTACGGTTGGAATATGTAACACCCACTATGTGTACCTCCCCATACCCGAAGTCATAGCGTCTCCGAGGACTGTCGATCCCAACAGTCGGATGTGGCATCGATGTCTGACTTCCACTGGGCAACCTGATTTCATGTAATACCCCTGGATAATATCAAATATCCAAAGTATCTAACGTTTCAACTGCGAAGAAGTAGAAACCCCTGTTTACTATTTCTTCTGCATTCTCTTGCTAATCTCAAGAAGAGATGTATTTTGGTCGCTTTTGAGGTGGAGATGAGATGATTTGGTACCATGGAAATCGGGCTTCAGCCTACAAATAAAGGTATCACAACTCCGGCAATTTTGTAGCATGACTGCCGGTAACTGGCATGCCGAGTGTATAAAATGTTGTGCGGTGTAATTTATAAGCCTATTGATTCAGAGCTTTATACCATGAATATATGTTTTTTGCTGCCAAAGGAAACTAGGATTTGTATTAAAAAAACTGAGAAAGGAACCTCGGGGGAGAGAGAGATATCCCACACCCCAGGTTTATAGGAGTTTGAACGACATGATGCTAGTGCATGCGCTAAGACATTAAAACTTCTACGAAAGAAACCAAATGATACTTAAGGCAAGTTTGGCACTAATTCACGAGCATTTTCAATGACAGAATGATCTAACCATGGAGCTTCAACAAGTGGGTTTTTCATTAGGCCGATCACTGTCAGACAATCCCCAGAAATAAAACATCTGCCCTCAAGGGTGGAGGCAATCTCGGCCATTAGTAAAGCTTCAGCTTCCACAGATTCTGCATTTGGGGCCGCTGGATCCTGATACCCTCTGGATTTCTTAACAGAGATGCATGCTATGGGATAAGGCAATTACATTTTTCTTTTGTTATGTTTTTTTGGGTCTGGACTCTGGACTAGGGAGGGGAGCGTGGGTAGGAAACAAAACATTCGATGCTCATGTGAAAACCGGGGGTTCTCCACAGACCACGGTCTGAGATATTTCCCTTGTACATGAATATGCATAGCATTGATGTTTCTTTAATCTGGGTTGGAGAAGTTGGCCCTGTTTCTTGTTTTGGAATCGTTAACTTGCATAACCTATTATTCTCTATTTGAAAAGTTTAATTCTGCAAATAGTACTTTATTCAAATCTATATTCAATCTAATTAATGTGGTCTAATTTCATCCATTTGGATGGAATATGGATAAACCCTAATCTTTTCTGATATGATTCAATCTAGTAATATTTAAAAATTAGTAATTAGTCGGGTTTGCTTCATAAAATTATTATTTTCAAGTCACTTTATCTATGATATACAATATCAAAATCATTTTTAATAGAGGACGTAGGGTTGCAAATTAAGTACCGAATTTGAAGAATTTATAGTGCATCGAATTTTCAAATTTTAACAAATGTTCAACCCTAATCTGCCCAAATTGCACTCCTAATTTTTAGTTTATTTTAGTAATGACATAATATTCTGATATTTTTAATTTATGTATATTTATCAATGCTATTAAATATCCAAATTCAATATAAGTCTAATCTAAATTGGATAAATTGGATGAAGAATATTTAATTTGAACTCAAAATTAAAGAATAGAATGGGAAAACAAGATTCATTTAAACAACTCCATATAATTGGGACAAGACTCACTATATCTTATCAAGGTTTTAAAAACCAACTTGGGGGCTGAACGGTTTTTGCCTCTTGTTCGCAAGTCACCTGTTTGACTATTTGGGTTGAATGGGTTAGATGATACATCAGCATATTTCCTATAATGCGCATGTGTGTGTATAAATATGTATTTTATCAATAAATATATATATAACTATTATTTTATATTTAATTTATATTTTATATTATAATTTTTAAAGTTTTATTTTTAGAAAATATGCTAAGAATTACAATTTGAAGTGACAAAAGGGCTTTTTTGGCAAAAATAACAGGGTAAGGCACCTTCAGTCACTTGTGACATAGATTCGAGAAGTTACCCCAAATCAAAATAATGATTAATTAACCCAATCAGACAATTGAGTTAAAGTTATAGCCTCCCGAAGTTCTAGTGTGTAACCCTTGACCTAATGATCAGGTTGAACGGATCAATGGTTCAACTACTTGGGTTGGAGAATTTTTTACCAAGACAATTTGTGTGTGTGTGTGTGTGTGTGTGTGAAAATCCAGGTTTTAGATCATCCATATCCAAAATTATGGTCGGATGACAGTTCAAATGGTTTGATTATTTGGCTTTTGAATTGACCTTGCAGCAAAAATGTTCTTATTATCTTTTTTTTTTTTTTTGGTATTTGGTGCCATGCACCATTTATAACTTCCCCCTTGACCCCTTTTTTCTCCCAAAGTGCTGGTTGTGAGATTCGATTCCACGTCAACACTAGAACAAACCAGCTAACACACCAATGAACCAGCCCTCAGTTGGTAAAGGCTTCTTATTATCTCATGTTCCTGTGCATTGGCAATTAATTACACAAATTCCTTGGTAGAAAACAAGAAACCTAACAGTTAAAGGGTGTTTGGTTCTGTAGGAGTTTATTCAATAAACACTGCCACATAGGTGCCACTTCTACAGTTCCTCTTTCTTGCTCTTCCATATGCATCGAGAATGACAAAAGTGGACTTCGGTTTGTGTACACCTACCATTTGAAGAAGTATTTTTTAAAGCTTCCATAAACTGTTGGACATTTTTTACCATTACACTAATGTGGTGCCTAGTAGCACCTAATTGTCAAACGATTATAATTATTACCTTTAGCAAATAAAATACAAACCTTGAACGAAAAAATGTAAAGGAACCAAACACATAGTCTTCACATTAATGCATTGAACCATAGTATTATAGCGTATTAGTATGCACAAGACAAACACGATGGAAGGACTCAAAGACCAAATGGAGTGCCCGTTTGGAAGGGCTTTCAAGCATTGGTTTCTGGCTTTGCAAAGTAGACCCCACACTAGAAGCCTAGGCGCTATGCTTTGTTTGGCAAAAAAACCCCACAAGGCCTCAAAGCTCACATTATTTCAACTCCCCTAACTTCTTCAAAAGAGCTCAATCAAAGCTGAAACCTTCCCAAACGAGCTTCTACACCGTATGCTGTCTCACCCTTCAATTACTTGCAAAATTTCAGCGCTACTGCGCAAGGACCTTTTCCACATGGCAAACAGAAGCCTCTTTTTCAGTCTTTTTTTTTTTTAGTTCCAATAGTTTGTTGGCTGTATTCATCTGCCAAAATATCCAATCTAATATGTTACCGAGGCATGAGAATGGCACGAATGAGAACATTCCATGTTACCAATCCAGAGATCCCCTATCAAATAGACGGTCTGGATTGGCCATGTCCGCTCCTGCAAATCATAGAGAACTCACCGGTATTAACAAGATAGGAAGATTTATGACCAAAAAATTGCCCTTCGCGTTCGTTTCTTATCCAGCTAATAAATATAATTCTCCGGTTACCCGAATTTCTTTTCTGTTTTTTTGGTTAAAAACTGTAATTCATCCAAGAGATAACATTACACGGCTGAGTCATTCATTAACAAATCCTGGAACCAGGCTTCCCCTACCCTTACAAAAATGAAACCCAATTCCCAGGGAAATAAATAGCTTTGGACACTAAGCCGTGTGCTAAAGTTGTAAGGACGAGGAGTGAACTTGAAGACGACTTCCCTGAAACCTTCCACCATAGCCAAGATATCCTTGATGATGAGCCCATGAGGAAAGCACCGATGGTTCTGCAACTGCTTTTACCTCCTGAATGGAGCTTGCATTTAGTTGAAAGGATTACAATGGACCCAAAAAGTGATCATAGGACCAAGTCAATGAATTTCGATGAGCATTTAGTTGAAAGAAGCCCTTGAAATATAGGAGAAATCCAACTCCATGCCCTGAGCAATGATATTCTAACACAGGCCTTCTCACAAAGGAGGGAAAAAGAAAAGATAAACAGTTTGAGTTACGTATGCAAACTAATAAAAAGTGTCTTAAAAAATGGGATGAAAGAATAAAGGAAATACATAATTTAGGAATACAAGAGAAGATGCATGATTTTTAACAATAGATATGACACTAAACAGAAAGGAATGGCGGAACAAGATTCATGTAGCCAACCCCATAATTTAACAACAAAAACAAATAAAAAAACCCCATAATTCAACAATGGATATGACACTAAACAGAACAGAAAGGTAAAACAAGATTCATATAACCAACCCCATATAGTTGGAAAAAGGCTTAGATGATAACAAAGAGACCATGCATACCTTAGGAATGTCCAGAAATCAGGAGAAAACACAACCAGAATAACGTAGGAAGGAGGTCTTACCCAACTCAATATTAAGGTTGGGTATAAAAATCCTGTTCACTATTCCACCCAGCTAGGGGCCATGTCTTATGTTCACGTAGGAGCCCTGGTATTTTTCTATTCTTTTGACATCATAACTGGTACTCCTTTGATGAACACACAGAATATTCACTTTTCCAACTTGTGCAGACATGCACCTTCACACACAGATACAGCCTCTGTGGCTCTGTGTGTGTGTAAGAGAGAGGGAGAGAGGGAGAGAGGGAGATGAAAAACACTACAAAACTTTGATGAAATATGAAATTGAGTACAACAATAATACATGTACCTGAAAAAGGTATTATGCCAGGACCTTCTCTGGGGAGTAATACTGAGAAGATTTTTCATGCCTTTTCCTGCCAAAGGAATTGCAGTTTCAGATTTGGGTGTGGTATGTGAATAAGTTCAAGCAAATTTTCTTCTGGATCAATGACTTAAAAAATAATGGCAATTATCCTAACCAAAATAGGAGAGTAGAGTCCCAAAAAACAACTCAGAGCAGGCAAATCATAAATTAAAATTAAAAAAAAAGAAAAAGAAAAATAATCCTGCCCCACCCACAAAAAATAAAGAAAAAAAGAAAAACATTACTCCTCCAGTCCTCCCCCCCTAGATAGATAATTAATTGATCTATCAGCTAGGAACCCATGTAAGAAGTCCTTCCTCTTGGGCTGAAATCTCCAATTTAAATGAAAATAATAAAAAATATGAATACAATAAGGAAATAAAACGTGAAGCCATGAAAGCACAAAAGTAAATGGTAAAAGATAAAAATTGGCAACACTAAAATTTGCATAAATCCAGAAGAAAACAATGAATACAGTAAGTAAAACTTATTTTTATCAAAAAAAAACAGCAAGTAAAACTTACTTTTGTTGTACTTTAACGAGCGACAGAGGTCTCTTATAACCACCTTCCTTCTGTTGAGACTTTGGCTTGCCTGCCTGCCTTTGCTCAGGTTTCCAGCAAGCTTTGGTGAGAGATTCACCCAGTAGATCTGCAATATTTGTGGCCATTGTTGCAGCCTTCTCTGCATATGGGAAAGTCTCTTCTTTAAAGTGGTGTGACAGCCATAGGTACATGGACAACACTTGATGTTTAGTCTCAAGGTCCAAAAGCTCTGAATCATTACGAGCAGAACCCTTCGGCATGCCCATTGCTATACTAACAGGAAGATTTTGGCTATATGAAGAAGCAAACCTTAGAAGATGGTACATTGCTTTCGGGTCTCTTATATTAACTGGGGCAAAGCAAAAGTTAAAACGGTCTTGCAGAGATAATCCCCGTACCTTCTCCAACATCCGCGCAACCTTCTTTATGTGATCATGCTTACACAAGAAGTAAGAGCCATCAAGACGACAGTTCTCTCCAAACTTCTCCAGTAGCTGGCAAAAAGTAACATTTGGAAGCTGCCCAGCAAATAATTCGACCTGCTCAAAGAACGGGAAGAGACCCACCTTATTAACCTCATCAAAAGGTTGCTTCAAGCACTCAATCAAGTAGTCTAAGTCATCCAAATGCAAGGTGGTTGTGAGGCCATCAGGATAGCGACTTCCTCTGCGACCAGCTCTTCCAGCAATCTGCTTCACCTGTGTTGAAGGAACTGGAACAATCTTGTCACCGTTATACTTGGAAAGACTATAAAATACAACCCTTCTAATATTTAGATTCAAACCCATCCCTACTGCATCACTTGCAACCAGGACATCAAATTCATTCTCTTGATCATTAAATAAACTTGCTTGCTGCCGTCGAGTCTCAGGTGGCAAGGCACCGTAGATAACACAACAACGATGGTTAGTGTACTTCTCGATTGCCAATTTCACCTCAAATATCTCTCTCCTTGAGAATGCAACAATACAGTCTCCAGGCCGAACATTTCGAAGATCTCCCAACAGAGTCTTTGCTTCTACCACAAGTGGCTTGAACCTTTCATAATGATTTTCAATCAAATCGTCCCTAGTTTCCAAACAAATCTTTCGGACAATTTTCAGAACACTTGGATCTCCACAGAGATGTATTTCATCAGCTTTCAATCCAAGTAAAGCACGAGTCCATGCATAGCCTCTGCAAGGATCTGCCATCATCTGTATTTCATCAATGACAGCAACATCATACAATTCATCTGTAGAAACCATTTCCACAGTACAAGCAATATGATTGGCGAATGGAACACTTTTCTTCTCTTGCCCCGTGTGGAGACTACAGTATACACCAAGGGCATTCACCTTGTCAAAAACTTCCATGGCTAAGAGCCTCAGAGGACTACAATAAATACCTTTCTTGGCTTCCATAAAACGTTGGAGTGCATTGTATGTTTTGCCACTGTTGGTAGGGCCACAATGGTAGATAATCTTGCGTTTCATCGCCCGAGCGAAAGGGAACCAGGTATGAGGTTTTGTAAGGTCTGCAGATTCAACTATATCCCGGAAACGTTTAATCTCATCAGGAAATTCTTCCAAACAAAATTCGACAAAAATGGGGAAAAGAAATCGCTCTGATTCTTCGCACGGACCAAGTGATACCAAGTACTTGGCAATATCATCTGGACATTTCTTCAGGAAGAAAGACCGAAACTTGTGGACAGCAGTAGGGAAAAACGAGGCACCAATGTATATCGCAAGGGCCTGGTTCGATGCCCAACCCGATTTTGCAAAGGACCTGAAAATTTCAACTAAAATTTCCCAATCGGACCTAGTTTGCTTTGCAGCCTTCTCAGAGTTGCAGAGTTCCCGATATAATTCAACGGGATCACGAGAGGCCACATGCACAAAACAGGCATCGTTCCGAGAACCATTATCCTCGGTGCTTTCACATTCAGTTGCTGATGAATCGTAAAAACTCTCCTTATTGACAGGGTCTCTTTTTTCAGTCGTCGTCGACGTCGAGAAGGGTTTGTAGCTAACGAAATGAAAATCCCTAAGTTGTTTAATCTGAAACCCAAGTTGTGCAGCATCCAGCTGCATCGAACTTGTCGAAACTCCCCGAATTTGTGAGTCTAAAAATGAAAGAAAAGAAGTTCTCTGGGAATTTAAACACCCACATCCTCCTGGAGAATGGAAAAATCGATTCGATAGGACAATTTGGACCTTGAAGGCGTTACTTCTAGATGAATAAATTCGAAAAAGCGATGTTGCAGGACCTCTCGCCATTAAATTCAAATGCAAGCCATGAAAATATAAATATATCTTGAAAGATCGAAGCGCTTGAAAGAAAACGAAGGAATGCAAATCCAAACAGATGATAAATCACAAAATCTAACTTATTACCTTCTTCAGAGAGAGAGAGAGGGAAAAAGAGAGGCCAACGTTTTCCCACCAAAAAAAACCCTAAGGTTAGAAGTTAGATTTCGGTCGGTTGTTGGCTCCCATTCTCCCAAAATCCCAAAATTGCAACTCGGCCGCGACTCGTAACACTCGTTTGGATTTCAAAACTTTGACCATGAAAACCTGATACGGGACGGGTTTCCGAAACTCGTCACATACCGGGAGTCTGAGATGAGACCGGATCTGCTCCGCACACCTGGCGCCTCACTGGCGTTTTACACGCACCATGCATTGCGAACATCTCTCGTACTTATTAATTATTATTCACGGTAGAAATTCGCAATTCACGGTGGATGTGCTTCTGAAACGGGCATTTAGAATTTAATGGGATGTTCTCCTCATATAGCGCGCCTCACACCGATTTCACAGTCACATCTCACACAAGAATATCTCTGATGAATAATCAATAAAAATAGGGGAGATGCTCCCAATGTATGATCATGATATGTTGTAAAGTCAGTGAGGTGCGCTGCGTGAGGAGCAGATCTGGACTCGATAGAGTAATATTATATCCTGTGATGAGGGGTAATGGGATTGGGGTAGTGGTGCAAATGGATCGGATTCGATCGGATTCTATTTGATCGAATTTGGATCACCCTGTTTGAATCTTCGGATCTGATTGGATAATATGATGTTTATCAGAAATCAGATCGGATTCGGATCAATACCCCCCTATCCGATCCGAGAAGATCCAATCCGATGTATATATATATATATATAAATATATATATATATGTTATTTATTTATTTTTATAACTTTGTTATATTATTTATTTTTTTATAAAAAACATGTATATATATGATGAAAATAATTAAAAAGTACTTGTATTTTTTTATTTTATTTAAATTAGCATATTTTTAATTTTCTTTTAATAATTTATTAATTTTTAAAGAAAACAAGTCGTGTCGGATCAAATCTCAAGATCCAACTTACCAATAGGATTCAAATTCAAATCAAATTCAAATCAAATCCTAACAAATCTAGTCGGATCGAGTCCAACATGAACAATATCGGGTCGGATTCAAATATACCCTGATTTGAATCCGTATCCAATCTATTTGCAACCCTAAATAGGGATGGGCTATTAGTGTTAATGGACCGATTTTGGGTTGGATCCATCAAAACCAAAATCAATTTGGATAGATTGGACAAACCAATAAGAGATATTTAGAGGTGTAAATCGGGTCGGGCCGCCCATGGCCCGGCATGACACAATGGCTAACGGGTTGTGCCAGGCACAGCATGGAGGTTTGTGTCGTGCTGGACTGGGGGTTCGATGCCCATGGGCCGGCACGGCACGACATGATAGCACGTGCCATGCCTCCTGCGGCTCGTGTGTCGGCGTGGCCCAGCCCGTGGCACGGCATGAAGCACGGCCCACCAGTCCTATAACGGGCTACGCTCGGCCCGCCCAAGAATATAACTGTTGGGCCCCCCCTCCCAAAGGGGCCCAACGGCTAGTTTCAACTTTTGGGGGGGGATTATAGAAATACCCCCCCAACAGCTATATCACAACTAGTTTAGGGGGGCATTTTGGGTAAAGTTATAAGTAACTTTACAATGACCAAAATACCCCTCCCAACAACTAAATAACAAATAGTTTTTTTGGGTATTTTGGGCAATTGAATTATGTTCAATTCCTATAAATAGCCCTACCCTCCACCATTCTCATCACACAAATTCAACAATTCTCTCTCTCTCTCTCTCTCACTCTCATACTCATACATTCTCAATTATCTACAATCTGAGAAATTTTGATTAGTTGATTGTCTGATTCTGCATTCTCCAATTCTCAAGTCTCAACTTTATCGAAGTTTCAACTTTCAACAAGAAGAAGGCTTGCTCAACCAGCTCAAGTATCTCAATTAGGGAGGCTTGGACATTGAAAGGCTTCAACCGTTGAAATCAAGTTGGGATTTTGAACCGGCAATCTGAGTAAGTCAAATTAGATTAATTTTTATCTTTTTAGAATTTAAAAAAAAATTGTTGGCTCTTCTCAAAACTGATTCCCCAACATGTTCACCATGGATGACATTCAATCGCATCACGATAGTATTAGTGTTAGCACTGATGCCAATGTGTTTGATGTCGATGGAAGTGGAACTTTCACCCCCGGTAGTAGTGATACTAGGGGAAAAATGAGGGCTTCTAAGCTGAGTAGCCTGGTTTGAAAAGTTTTCAAAGTAGAGGATATTGAAGGGAAGGGGAAAAGGGTCGTTTGCCAAAAATGTAGGAAATACTTTAGTTATTGTAGCAATGGTGGTACTGGTCATTTGAGCAGACATCTACTCACACATGAGCGAGAAGAAGATGAACGGAGAGAAACAACCCAAACACAGATTGGGAGGGGGACTAGTTTTGGTACCTTTAGATATTCACAAGAAAAAACGAGACAATACATGCAAAACAACCATTTATGTTAGTTGAAGATCCAAAGCTAGAAAAATGGTTGCGTAGTTCTATAAACTCACAATATAAAAAAGTTTCTAGGAATACTATAAGAACTGATGCTTTAAAAAAATTATTCATATAAACAAAATTTAATTTCTTTGTTAGCAAATCTTAATTATAAAGTTGCAATTACTTCGGATGTTTAGACATTCAAATTTAATATTAGTTATATTTGTGTTACTGACCATTTCATTGATGAAAACTGGTTTTTGAATAAAAGAATTTTAAGTTTTACTAGGCTTGAATGGCCACATAGTGGCCCAGCTATTGCTGCAAGTATTTTAAATATTTTGCATGCTTATGGTAGTTTTGATAATGCTAGCAATAATAATTCTGTAATAAATATTTTAAAATCTCAATTAAAGTCATGCTTAAATGGTAAATTATTTCATATTAGATGTGCATGTCACATATTAAATTTATGCATTCAAGATGCCTTGAATATTATTTCAAATCATATTTTCAAAAATTAGAAATTGTATTATATATATAAAAAGTTCAGGGGCAAGAAAACAATAATTTAAATATTTATATCAAATTTATGGTTTAAAATATAAACATTTTATATTAGATGTAAAGCATAGGTGGAATTCTACCTATGCTATGTTAGAAAGTTGTATATCTCATAAACAAATTCTTTCTGATTTTTATAATTTAAAAATGCCTAATGATATGATTTTTTAGGAAGACTGGGAAATGGTAGTCTGTATAAGAGATTTTTTTTAAACATTTTTATAATGCAACAAATGAATTATTTGGAATTTATTATCCAAATTGTTGTAATTTATCGTATCAATTAATGGTAATTAGTGATTGTTTTGCCAAACATAGAAATAATCCACAATTTCAATGTATTGTTGAAATTATGGAAAATAAATTTWAAAARTAYTSGRAGAACATTTCTCCCCTTTATTGTTTAGCTACAATATTAGACCCTAGGATTAGGAAAGATGGTTTAGATATTTTACTTGAAACATATTATGAAAATATGAATATTGATATAGGAAATAAARAAGAARAARTTAATAATTTATTATTTGAAATGTACAGTTTGTATGAATCTGAAGTTGTAGGAAATCTGCTAGGAAATAAAAAAGAAGAAATTAATAATTTATTATTTGAAAAGTACAGTTTGTATGAATCTAAAATTGTAGGAAATCTGCTAGTTCCTACAACTTGTTCATCTTTTTCTTCTTCTCCTTCTGACTTTGAGCCCAGTTGTAGAAGAGAAAAGCTTTTTTATTTAATAAGTAGAAGTCAGAAATCTGCTAGTTCTACAAAAAGTTCATTTACTGAACTTAATTTATATTTGTAAGCAAATTTTTCTAATTTAGGTGAAGTATCAAATAATTTTAATATTTTAGCCTGGTGGAGTGAACATTCAAAAAATTATCCGGTTCTCGCCGCCATGGTACGTGATCTATTAACCCCTCCGGTGTCTACAATTCCATCGAAGTCTTATTTTAGTACGGGTACCAGGGTGCTGGATGACAAAAGAAGCTGCATGAACGATGAGAGTATAGAGATGTGCATCTACTTCAAGGATTGGCTAGATGCAGAAGATAGATTACAAGACAAGGGAGGGCATGACACAACACCGGACATTTCACCTGAAACAGATGATGAAAGTCATGAATTTGACTACTTGTAGAATTTTTCATTTTTTTCAAATTATTTGATATATTTTTTTTAATTTATTTGATATATTTTTTAATTTTTTAACAATGTAATTTTGTATTTTCAATTTGAAACCATATTGTATTTTTTATATTTTATTAATTTAGTCCATTTTTATATTTCATTCATCCAAGTATGCAATGATCCAATCATTGTATTTATAATTCACTAATTTGTACCATTCAAATTTAAATGAAATAAAATTCCTATTTTTCTTCTAATTTGTTATTCCATCATTCTTATTTCAATTTGGTTAAGTATTTTTTTTCATTTATGTATTAAATAACTTAGATTTCTCATTTCTTAATTTTTTAAATAGTTCNATTTTTTTTCATTTATGTATTAAATAACTTAGATTTCTCATTTCTTAATTTTTTAAATAGTTCCTAATTCCCAAAGTTCATAGGAAAGTTAAATATTTTAGTTTTACAATTTTACTTAGAAAAAAAATCAAAATTTTCAAAAAAAAAAAAAACAGTGCAGCCCAGTTCATTCTAGGCCCAAGGCCCGCCCTGTGGCCTAGCCCGGCACGGTCCAAGCCCACGGCACGGCCTGCAGCCCGACCCGGCCCAAGCCCGCGTGCTAGCACGACACAACATGGGCCCGTTTGGGCCTGGGCCGTGGGCCATGCCGAGTTGACCCACAAAATTTCCACAGGGGAGGATGGCATGGCCTATGGCGGCCCGCGGGCCAGCACGACACGACCCACTTTACACCTCTAGAGATATTGAATTGAATAGGTCCAGACTTAATGGTTCATAGTATTTATTGGATTGAATGGATTTGGTCCATCCGTAATGGATTTATATATTTTTTTTGGTTGAGCGTAACGGATTTATATTAGATTGGGTTATATTGAACTGATGTCTGGCCCATTGATAGAAGATAAGAATATAGGCGTCAATGGACCAAGTACGAGCAATCTAAATTAAAACCAATTCAACAGATT